GGTGTGCGATAGACTTACCTCCACGTGGTGCACCCTGGGCAACGTATATTCATACGGCAAAAAAGTCTATTAACTGGCAGTTGACTTCTCACTTCAAACTACCAAGACCTCACTGCATTTCATATTCGAATAATAATTTCACAGTACTCACCTCACCTTTTTTCTACCTTTTCTACCTCCATCTTTGAAACAATCTTCTGCCCCCCCCCGTCTCGACTTTTTTTTCACTTTGATGTTCCTTCTCCTCTGTGAAGCCTGAAGTCAACTGAAGGGCTAATGATAAGCATCAAAACGCCTGCCATTTGATATAAATATGTAGTCTATAACTTAACGCATAAACGCGTGATATTTACTCAGAACCAATCCAATATCAGTACTTTGTTAAGATTATTTCACTTGTAAATGCAAGAAATGATCATTCACAGGTACATTAAATAAATTACGCTTTTTTACCCGTCTCCCACCTCCAAATATGGGCTACAAAAATATGAACTAGAAAAATAACTAAAAGTATAGCAGGTTCATTTAATAACTGTAATCGTTAAAACAGTTACCACCGTTGTCTACTGGAAAAGGACTTCGCGTTGAAAGAAAATTCAGGACATTCAAAATTTCCAACCAACTTGACACTTCCAAACAACTGATAGTAGACACTCAATGTTATTTGGAGATAAATTAAACAAATTTAGTGACTTTAAATATATGAGAACTAACTTTGTTTTTCCATTTAGTGAGCCTGTTACTCCAGCAGGTGGCTTTGTGGTAGATATTGCATCCTTCTGAGGTGAAATTGGCGAGCAGTTTTTACCTATTGGGGAAAAGGAGGCGTAACAGTCATTGGGGGCTAAAATGAATAATGTGGATCTGGTAGGTGGGACTATTTTCTGGAATTTACTGCCAGGATGCATTCTTATGGGATTGCACCCTTTAACGCAGTAAATAAGCGTGCCTAGTCAGCTCTTGCTGCAACTTGGTACATATTTCTGCTACTTTACGTGGGATTTAAGCAAGTTAGATAATGAAGATAGGGCGAAAAGGCTGCAAATTGACTCTCGCTTCAAATGACCATCGATTTGGTTACCTCTACCGCCTAAGTGGGTGTTTTAGGTGTGCCTATTAAGTAGTTACGCAGGCCAAACAACAAGGGGGTTCAAATCTAAATGGTTAACACTAGGGGAAAATGTACGTCGATCCGATTCGAGTGGACGCAACTTCTGCCTGCACATGGCTCAGCTATATGGTTACAGAACACGTGGTGCAATTTATTTGTCACTTTTTTACAACTGATTCATTGAAGAAGTTCGCATTGAACTTGAGTTTCACATTGAATATGACGCCATAACAGTCCCCTGGGACTCATTCTGTTTACCACTTACTTACTTACTGAATTCCCATGCTATGACTATATTTTTTTTCGTGAAAAAATCTGATTAGTAGATCAATCCTAGCATTTTAACTCATCCTAACTGTATGGTCTTGTGTGCTACCAATGCTTCTGTTCTATATATCTCTGCGGCGTTGTCGCGACTGGCTGTTTCTGAAAAGCATGAAACTATAAAACACTCCTCTAATTGGGTCTTAAAATAGTCCCTTCTTCCTTACAAAACGCCTACAGACGGGATCAGCTCTAACTACTAATTAGCACAAACTCTGAAAACAGACTCTTTTGTGCAATAAAACTGCTGTATCTATAACTTTTTAATCCAAACAAGTATCGTATAGTGGCTTTGATTTCTCCCAATTTTTGAGGCTCATGCAACGAATCCAATCTTTCTGGTTGGTCAATAATATTTACCAAAGTTAGTAACGTTTCCTAGTCTACTGCAATCAATGGCTAATAGAAGTCATTTAAATATCGCGAGAAATTCCCCGAATAATACATGTTTATCAGCAAAAATTGGCAGTAGTTGTATCGAATGCAGCGGGGGTTGGGGGGTGGGGTTTAAATGAGTCATAAAAATGATCCCTTGCATTTGCTGAGCAATTGCCTTGTGTATTAGATTATTGAAAAGTGGAATAATGGATGCATTAGCAGAAACGGAAAATGAGTTGTATGTCGGTACATGTGCAATTAAAAGACAAATCTCAAAGGTGAGTGTTGTGGTCGAATGTAAGTGATCACTCTTCTTTTCTTTTCCTTCACCAAAAAAACGCTACTTTGCATAAATGAAAGAATGAGAAAATGTTTGAAATTACCCGTGTTGGAGAGATTATTGTCAATTTGAGGAATGGCAGATTTTGAGAGATTTTTGCTTGGAGAGGTCTAAAGTAGAAAGAAAATCAAATGGGAAATAATGGAGGAATGCGAAATTTTAGCGTGTTGAAAAAAAGGTCCCAGCTCAGTTTAACGCGTCTACTGCAAACACATGTTTGAGCAAAAAAAGTGATCAGGAAGCCCAACAAACGAAATAAACAGAATTATAACGTAAAAGCAAAGGCATGGTATCGATTTATTAAATTTTGAGCACAAATATTTTACAATTGGCAATTAGGTTCACTAAAAAATCGCTCATAAGAGTATCCTTACGATTTTATGAAGCTAGAATAAATTTGCATTTTACTCAAATAAGATATCGTAGAGAATGGCAGTAAGAGGTGTACATGTGTATGGAGTTAAAGAAATTTTAGAGTCATCATCAAAACGTGAGTTTCGGAAAAGTAGCCGTTTGAGTGCAATACACATACTTATATGGATTATAAAATGTGAGTTCCTGGCAAGTTAATTTTAAAATATTCAAAAAGGCATACGACCCAAAAACTTCTCAAATGACTCACCATTTTAAATGTCCCATTGATAGGACTTCGTGTAAGGCTAACACCACCTCCTGATGCTTTGGCAGCTTCAGAATTTTTGCTCAAATAGAAGGCATTCATACTCCCATTCCCAGCTCCGTTGCTCGGTTGTTGTTGAATCGAGGATTCTGGCTTCGAGTAGACCTTGATAGTTTGCGAACCAAAATTGGCTGAATTGACAGATGCGAGGGCAGCAGTACACGCGAGTTCACTCAGAAGACCCTCTTCTTGCTTAACGGGCTCAGGGGATTTGATGCCCTCCAAGGAGTCACCCGTGGTACTGCTTACTAACTGCTCCACAGTGGTGAGGTCAACCATTGCAGCTGGAATGCTTTCGGGATTTGCAGGGCGGGCTTTCTTGACAAAACCACCAGAGGATCGAACGAGATTCTGTAGGGCGACTGAAAATAGGGAGAAAAAAAAGTCAGTACCAAAATTTCACATTCATTCACAACATTTTCGAGAAGTTCAGTGTGGTATAGGAATGGAGTGAATAGAAATCCAGATAGTGAATTCAGAACAAAGTAGAAACTTTAAAAAGCATCAGTTATCTGCAGTTGTTTATTAATTCTTTTACTTTAATCACTCCAATCGGTGTATTACTAACCAACATTCCTCAAATTCTCTTTCAATTCACTCCTTAATCTACAGAAAGTAGACGAAAAGTCTCCTTGCTGATTGGCCAGTTTCCAGTTTCTTAACTCCGACATCACTGCCATCCTTCCAATCACTCCTAATACAACTATTTTGCCACTTCCTGATTTGTGACAATAAAGTTCGCGTGACTGGGAGAAGAGACATTCAAGAACGTTTTCGCAATTCTGTGCCGGGGATTTCTAAGGCAGAATATACTTTTGGATTATTGCAAAAGCTATTTACTGCACACGGGGTTAGTAATTTTATCAAAGATGAAAATGCCATAAAGACTTCAGATTATTACTTTTGATACTTTCGAGATCGGATGCATACTTTCCTGTGTTAGAGATTGCAGACACGCTGTACCCTATTTAAGGATTCTTGCATTAGTCACTAACTCCTGAAGACAAGACTGTGTCAAAAAGGGCAAGATGAGTGTAAAGCTTAATTTTATCCTTTAGTTGTGATAACTTCAACTCTCATAAAGGTATATGGCTTCTCTTGCATCAAAATTGAAAAGACTTCAATTTTTCCAATAACATTGTTAGAACATGAATTCGAAGATTTTTTTATCCTAAAGAAAAAACTGACAAAGTTTCATCGCAAAATATCCCAGAATTGCATGGGTTTAGTCGACATGGCTGTATTACAATGGCAAAACGGTTAATGAAAATAATAAATCCTAAACCAATAAAGATTAAATCAACCATTTTACAAAATTGCATGACTGTCGTCTCCCATAGTTTTAAAGTAAAGTTAAGAGATTTACAGTAATTTGGGAGGCTATTAACCGATACTTCAAAACAGTCCCAAATGATAGCGATAAGTCAGTTAAAGAGTCTGCATTTTGTGTACCAAACTTCTTATTACCTGATAGCATTTCTTTCTTTACTAATTGGGGTGCACTCACTAGAGAGACGTCTTTTGGTCTTCTAATTCTCTGCACGAAGGCCAATCATGGCACAGACTTGTTTAAAAAACCACTGATCTACACTTGAAAGTTATGCTTATTGAAAAGTTTTTACTTATTCCATCGTTGCTTTACTTATGCCCTAAACTGCAGAATTCAGTTAATGAACATTTGTCTTTTCAACCATTCCAAGGGAAAATGTATCAAAGCGGCGAAATTGAAACTTCTTGGCCAAAGAACAAAAAATATTGTAAACTAATACTTGTTGCAATTCAGGAAACAGTGTATGAAACTTGAAATTTGGAAATTAAACTACCTGTTTCGTAAATTTCGTACGACTTGAGTCAACAAGTCAAATGAATCAAGGCTCATCGACATCTTGATTTTGACTTTTATCCGGTCGCTTATACGAATTGAACTAACATGGAATCCATGTACTAAAGAGTTAGACTATTGCAAGGACTAAAGGATCGCTTTCAACATTCCAGTTCTACGATCGTTTTCAGGGAGAGATAAAAATACATCTAGGAGATGTGGCTATGTCAGCATTTTGATTTAAAGCTACGAAATGGTTCACGTATAGAATGCAAAGAGTAGGCGATGACATAGAAGGATCGCGTCTGAACCTGACTGATAAGAAGTCTTCATTTGAACTACCTATTTCATGATTCAAATGAGCATTTATAGAGTACCGTAACAATTCCAAACATAATTCCACACTTCGATCCCCTTTCTATATGCGCTTACGAAGCGAAGAAAAGTTAAATGCATTGAAATATGACGAATAAAACCAATGGCCTTACTACTATTTCTTAAAACAGTTTGATTCGACGATGAAGCTTTTTGAGCTGCAAGTCGAGGTTCGTCGGCAGCAGGTTGCTTGGAAGTCGGTTTCGGCCATTCTGATCCCGTGAACCAGTGGAATAAGGCAGCGCTTGAACAAAGAGCCGATATGTTTGAAAATATCTCCTCTCCACTACCAACGAAATGCGGCAGGGCGCAGAGTGCTGCAGTTATGAGACTAATATGGGGAGGATCCGGTCTGCCACAAGAAATCTAGAAAAGGAAAGACCCCCATGACTCTGCATGCAAAAATGCCGCCTGGTTATAGGTAACTATAAGAAAACGAATGAATATAACCTCGAGATTAATTATTTACCTTTTTCTGTTCTAAAATTCCTCCAAGAATTGCAAAGAGTCGAGGTGCGTTTGACTGATCGTCCTTTAGGCAAGCGGCTCTCCTCATTGGTTCATTCTCCTCTATCAGAGCAGCCAATTGCATGTCCAGACAAGGAGCTTTGGGTGTTTAATAAAAGAGCCAATTAAAAAACTATGCACACATTACTGGTAGGAACGTCACAGGCATATTCGTGAAGTATTATTGGTTATTTAACTATTCCATAAAACTAATTAGGTCTTTTGTTTCTCAGGATCTTGATCGGCACATTTATTCTAAATGGACATTCTATTTGTTAATTATAGCTTCGATTGAAGTGAATTCGCGCGCGTAGTTCGAAGAGGCTGTTAAAATAAGCCCTCATTTACCTTTAAGAAGTGTAGATCGGGAATTGGAAGGCAGGAGAGTTGCAATTTGAGATCGGTAGTAATAAGCTGCGCATGACAGAAGGGAAATGACTCCGAGGTTTTGAACTATCTCATCAAAATGGACACCCTCAGGCTGTAAAAAGAATAAAAGTAATTTTATTATTAAAGTAATTTTTATATCGATGAAAAAGGAATCGTTCATTCCAACAGTTGAAAAGTTAAAAACGTATGCACAAGTTGGTTTGCTTTAGAACTACCCACATAGGAAACAATATTTTAATAAAAATGAAGAAAATAGTTATTCAAACAGAGCTTAATAACTTGTAGCCCTTTAACTTTAAATCGGGATTTGGACCAATTATCCAATCTCTTAAGCTTACTCAATCCCATGAGCATTTTATTCTGTTCTCAAGAGAATTCGAGTTGGTTTGTTAATGTAAGGTCATCATAATACCGCGAATTACAAGTTTACCAAGTCATCTACAAAGCTGAGCCCAAACTGAATATAGCATTTTCAAAAATATCACCGGATATTTAAATTTCAGGATGAATTGTCAACTTAGAGCAACGTAGAAATCCTTAACACAAGAGTTAAGGTTTTTACATTCCTCTCTCAAAAAATGAAATGTAGAGCAATATTTATGCAAATAAAATCAATAATAAAAGGGGGCAGATAATTCAATGTACACAGTAGTAAAAAAACAAAAGTTCTGTTTATTTGAAAGGGAAAGTTTTGGTTAGAAATGTGTGCATAAGTACGGGAATCACTTTGAGCTTCTATATATTTGGAAGGCGCTGCTAATCTAAGTAATGGGAAATAATACCCGAAGCTTGTCAAACATGTCCGGGGTGTTGAAATTTTAACCAGGTGAAGTAATTTTAAAGAAGAAAGTTTAAATTCTGAACTGAATAAAGATATATAAAACAATTAAAGCAAATAGTTGACTTAAAATCAACAAAGAAATACGGTTGTTAATAGCTATTGAATAGCCGTCTCATCAATGACAGTGGTGTTTTTCGTTTATTTTCAACTAGTTTTCAAAGAAGTAATTACCATTGAAAGCGTGTAATTAATCGACGATAAAAGAATAGATCCATGGGGAAGGGATAACTCAAAACCTATTTTTCATTCAACGCCGAATTCATTTGTTATTCCCATCAAAGTCACAAAATAAATGTTTTAGAGTGTTCTAACTCTCCACAAAGAATAATTAATTAAACAATACTGGAAATGCAGACACTTCCATTATTCACCAATTTAGCAATTGAGGTTAACATCAATTTTTTAAAAAAATAATAATGTAGGTTGTAATATCTTAGAGCTGTAATTTAAAAAAGAGACGGTATATTTCACTACCTCTGACTAATTCTAGGTATTTCTATCCAGAATTTATCCTATTTACAAAATTAAATTATTACTTCAAGCACATTAAGACAAATTAAAGGCGTTCTCACTCTTGCTTTTTCCAAAAAGTAGGCCAGGCATTGCTAGAAGCCCAATGGAACAGTTGAAATAGCCAATTTAGCTTCCTTTAAACATGATTGACACTAAGTAAGGATGTAATCCTGTTAAACTATTGACACAGAAATCTGACATTATCCAGATTATAGTTTGGTCAATTGGGTTAGTCAAGTTTCAAAGGCCTATAGTACAGAGATAGTTTCTGCTTGCCCCAAGAAGTACTTATTGAATCGAACAGTTCCCAACTGATAGTCCTTAAAGCTCACATCGAAATCTAGGTCTTACTTGGTAGCATTATTACACAAGTCAATGCGAGAAACTGTAAAGTTTATCTTCACAAAAAAATATTTTCGTACAAAATTTGTGCTAGGACCCAAAACATCACTATAATGACAAACATGAAATAGTTACTAGTCAATTCTCATTGGAGACTTTTAACAACTTTGATTAGATTCTGTCCATCAGTAAAAAGTACAAAGCGAATGGAGCCTTTAAACAAGTAAATAGAAAAAAATTAACTAATGAAACATCGATGGAAATTATGTGGGGGCAAGAAAAGGTCTTGATAAGGGGGAATTTTAAACAATAAAAGTAAAATTTATAGAATGTTTTTTTTGAATATAACAAAAAGAATTGGTTTTGTTACAAGATTTTTTGTTTTACACATAAAAGAAAATTCTCAATCAATTAATAGTTTTAAATTACCCGCAAATTTTTACTCAAGTCTGAAACAGTGATCCACGCTATAGAAAGCAACCATGCGTGAAGAAGGCGTCCATATAATTTCACAAAATCTGGTGAATTTGTATCAACATTCTGGAGACTTGTCAAGTCGATAGCACTCTCCAAATCAGGACGCTCCCTGGCTAATTGTCTAAAAGGTACAAACGATTATAACGTACCAAGAAAATAAAGAATTATTTAAGCAGAAAATTATCTTCATCTTACCGTATTTCACGCTCCAGGAGTGGAAGAGGGGCCAATTTCTTCATGCAGATTCGCATCAAATACTCGATGAATTCAGCATGTGTCCTCTATAAAAGTGGGTAGATACTGCAGTCAAATAGCAAGAGAAACAATGAAATGTGATGCTTTCCTTTGGTATTTTTCAGTAACCTAGTAATTTTCGGAAATCAGGGTACTTCAAGAGTAGACCTCAATAAAGAGCCCCTGGCATTTGACTGGCTAAAAACATGCTAATTTATTAGCAAAATATTTTATTTATAACAAATGGCAGGCGTTTTGATAGCTATCATTAGCCCTTTAGTTGACTTCTGGCTTCACAGAGGGGAGGAGGAACATCAAAGTGAGAAGAATTCGGGAGGGGGGGGGGATAGAAGAGTGATTCACAGATGTAAAAGAAACAGGCACAAAGGCACAGAAAGGGTAAAATGAGTACTGTGAAATGGGTCGAATATGACATACAGTGGGATAATGGTAGTTTGAAGTGAGAAGTCAACTGCCGGTTAATAGACCTTTTTGCCGTATGATTATACGTTGCCCAGGGTGCACCACGAGGAGGTAAGTCTATCCCACACCCCTATTAGCAAAATACAAAGTTCAGTGGCCGGCTCAACGGTGGCGATAGATAAATACAGAACTTCTTGCTCGAATACATGTAAAATCACCAAGTACCCTTATGCATAACTAGGGTTTAGGGATATCAGAACAGAGCTTCGAGTCGCTTAGGCAACCGTAGGACAACGCTTATGTACCGACCAAAGGCCAAATTAAACGCCAATGTAATGCCCGTTCTCTTAATTTTAAGATGCTACTAAAATCTGATTAATGTCAAAGCTGTTTGAATGTTAAAGTTCGAAGGCATTTCTCAGGTACTAGTGAAATCACTTCACGCATTGAAATCAGAGTGCGCATTACCTGACAATAGAATAAGATGAAGTTTGTAATCTAATTGAATGAAGAAGCGGCTCGAGCGATGAATTTAATTAATTATTGTATTTTTGATCACAATTGGAGCGAAGTCAAAGTAAAGACTAATTACACTGTTTTTAGTATATTTATGCATGAATCGGACTGCTCGAAACGTTTATATTTTTAATTTCAGTCGATAAGAGAATGATTTGATAAGAAGGAAATTACAAAATGGGAAAATATTCGTGCAAATGAATTTAGGATATCAAAGTAAAGGACTTAGCTCTAACCAACCTAGATTCATCAGTGTTTATGTAAAATCAATAGGATTCTAATATTTTATTAATTAACCTTTAAATAGGAAAACCAATCAAAGTGGGATATTTTCGAGGACTGCTTAATGTTGACCACATAAAAGACAGATTTGATCACATTTATCTTAGGTATTACTGCTAATTCTTCCGTTATAAGAGGCCTCTGTAATGGGCGTTTTGGCTATCCCAAATCTCAAGTACTTACAAATTAATTATTTCCTACTGGTGGTTGTTGTTATTATTGTTATTCCTTGATAATGACAATAATAATCTGGTGCCCAATTTCGTCAGCAAATGAAACCTCCTTCTTCTCAAAATGCTGCCTTTTCGAGTTTTTATGATAGTCATTGGGGTATGTGATAGACTTACCTCCACGTGGTGCAGCCTGGGCAACGTATGAGTTGACTTCAGACTTCAAAATACCACCACCTCACTGTATGTCATATTCGACTACTTCCACAGTACTCATCTTAACCCTTTTTCTACCTTTGTGTCTGTCTCTTTTACATCTTTGAAACACTCTTCTGTTCTCCCCTCCCCCTCTCGACTTTTTTTTTTCACTTTGATGTTCCTTCTTCTCTGTGAAGCCTGAAGGGGCTTATGATAACCATCAAACCGCCTGCCATTTGATATAAATAAATACTCTTAGAAATCAAAATGCCTGCCATTTGTTATTAATAAATAAATAAATGTTAGTCATTAAATGGGGTAGGTAGTCAAAAAGTGGTCAAAATCAGGAGTCGATAAAAATTCAATAAGCCAATGACGTCAAAATGGTCGAATTGAAAAGGAAATAAAGGTCACGCTAAAGCCTATATTGTGATAAATGTTATTGGAGAAAATGAAAATTTCTGAAAATCTATTCAAAAGCCTTTATTTTACGTCAATTTGCCTGCGCAGCATTGAACAAGTATTGAATAACAAGAAGACATTATGACAAATCTTAACTACAGACTACCAAGTCTTCAATCCTCTTTCTGCTCTATAATGCCTACGGCTACTGAACATACTCACGTTGGGAAGATGGATCGTGAAATGTGCACTTGGCACTCTCATTTTCAATATTAACCATAATTGATGGCAATTCCATTCACTTAAATACAACTTTCGGACCTGAATCCTTAAAGGTAGATCAAGGGACTGCCCCTGTCATACCAGATTTTAGAAAAAAAAGTTCTTTCACTTAAATAACTACAAGAAATTAAGCAGAGAGAACTATGCAAGTAAATGACGCATAAGATAGCATTAATGCACGCATTGACAGCTTCGCAATGGCCATACGCAGCTAGTGTGTGGGTGTGCTGCCAACTGGACACGTGTGCGTAAGTGCGGCCGTATTGCCACTGGAATATTGATCAATGTCGAATTCACGATTGTACATATATTTGGATTGAAATATAGCAAAAAAAGGGCAATTACGTTTCACATTCAAAGAATCTTAGGTAAAACCATGACCAAACGTATTATAATATTCGCCAAAATCATTTAATAAAAACGTAAGCATTTGGGTATTGAAATATAAAAATGGAAGTAAACCAATATCAAATCGTATGAAATATGAAATAGCATTAAACAAAAATATTTTACAAAAGTACAAAATTCAAGGAAAATATAAAAATTATTGCGGTCAATTACGAAATGCATACAAAGATTTGTGCAGAAGTATTAAAAAGGTTACTTAGATATAAAATCATAAAATATGGACTCACTTGCGGAAATGCGTTTTTGGCCAATGACTCCTCGAGTAGGACACATAATGACCTAACGCCATCTAATTCTTCATTTTCAATTAATTGAAGCTGACGATGTATTGACGAAAAGGCTAAAATTTTTTAGTAGAAATATGAAAACTAAGATGAGCTATCGATTACCAAAACCTTATGAACTTAACTTTAAGGAAAGGATATATTTGCTTACATCTCCATTTAGCCTTATCTGTGTGGTAAATATGTGATAAAGCTGATGAATAAAGTTGGCAATTGATTAGACTCGATTTCAACTGCGGTTTCAGATTGTTCTAAAAGAATATCCGTAAATGGTAAAAAATGTAAGCTTTATACCTTGTCAAATAAGTATTTGCAAACTGATGATGCATTGATTGGTATGGCACAGCCAATAATCCAACTAAATATAGACAAATCACTATCTTTGAGTGAATTTTCACTCATTTTAGGCGATTTATTGACTGTTGATCATTAATCTGTTTACAAAAAAGGCGGCATTTAATGCAACCTTAAATAACTCTAACGTTGAATGTTATAAACAAACTAAATTAATTTCTTATGAATGCATAAGAAAAAATGTAGTCGTTGTATTTTTATCGATTATAAAAGGGCTTTATAATTATTTGGGCATGAAATATTGAAAAAAGTGGTTCTATTTTCCTCGCTTTATGATATTATATTGAATATTAATCAGAAAAAATTTTGATTTCTTCCACCCTATCTAAGTGAATTTTAATTTTACTCATAAGTTGTATCATTTCAAATTCCTTTATATGAAAAACGTTAATCAATATATTTTATTTGGACCATTTTTTTAATTGAACTAAGTACTCTTTCCTGTTGATCATCACCATATTTCGAAGAAAAATATACGCTTTACTAGTATATTTAAATCCTTTTTATATGTGGAGTTTGATTTTTTCACACCATGTCGTTTAATTAAAACCAGGTCTTTTATACTTCTCGATTGTAATAGTTTGACCTAGTAATATTAGAAAATAATTGCACATATTTAAGGTAGGCTTAGTTGCATAAATTACTCAAACGAATTTAATTCAGTTGCTTTATCATTCATTTCAAGCGTTTTCTTTTTCCTAAGTTGGAGTGGTTTTGTGGTAAGTCCCTTCCCTCAACGCTTTTTAAACAGAAAGCCAAGAGAACGGTTTGATTAATATTAATTTGAATAAACAGTTAATCAACGAATCTTAATCCCGGCCTCAAAGTAAAAGGCAAGGAGTTCTTCGATTCAACTCTATCTTGCTTTAGAGTTATTGTTTTCTTTCTTAAACATAATTGCCTACTTAAGTTACGAGCTCATACAATGGGTATGTTTTCATATACATATTTTCACTTCCTTATAGTTCTTTATTTTTTTCCTTTAAGCCTTTTTAATGACTAGAAAGCCACTACTTAGCTGTGCACTAGTAGAAATTTAAACCGGACAGTTTCTGGAATAAATAGGCTAACTAATCAGCACAAATTAATGGGCATTATTAAACTTCTAAAACAACCCTAATTTATTACACATATTAGTCAACGAGCAAAAACAATTAGTAAATTAGGAATGAAATTTAAATAATGTACATCTCATAGTCAGTAATAGTATATTTCATTGAATTGAATTTATACTCATAGAGTTGAAAATTGATTTATGGTATTTATTCAAGAAAAATAGCCCATGAAATGAAAAGAAGACAATATCTAGCCAAATGTGCAACCGATGCCGCTGCTTACAATTTGAATTCCACTCTAGTCGAAAGGCGTTCGAAATTGGCTCGCGGGAATCAAGTTTGTTCTTCGAATCTTACTAAAGGTAGGGTCAATTTCGACGATGGCACTATTACGACAAGCCTGAATTAAATCCCTTCGTGTCACTCGCATTTCGGCTAGACCTGGAAGCTTCATAACCACGGTTAAAGGAAAATAAGAGTTCGAATCTATGGTTTTCAGAAGTTCCGTTTGCTTGTAAAGACTAGCATCATCGAAGTAATTTTCTACTTGAATTTTGATTCTTGCTAATCGCGTTTTTCGGGAATTCAGGCAATCTGTGTTTGTACAGCTGCATACATCAAGTGGACCGTCTGTATAATAAGGACAACAGCATAGTGGCGATTTGGTCAATTGGAGCGTATCGATGTTGAAGCCACAGCAGGTTCTGATACTTTCGCCTTTTTCAATTAAATTTTCGAGTTTAGATTGTTCCAGTGGTGGATGCTTGGTAAGGAGTTGATCTCGCTCTGCCATGCCTCCCTTGATGAAGAAGCCTTCGCAGATCACCATCTTCTTTAGAGGATTTTAGCTCAAATAAGTGGTACAGCTTACAAAAATTCTACTCATTAGAAATTCTGAATAGTACTCAGTGAATGTTAAATATTTAATTTAACCTCTCTTAACTTAAACGAATATTACAACATTTGCCTCAACCATTTCGAATCTTAACTTTCGAAAAGGAGAATCTTAATTTAGTTTTGATTTTGAAGAGAAGTTCGTTGATCATCTCTTAGTCTACACATATGCTTGCTTTTCTCCCCATCTCCACTCCTCTTCTTTCCATCCCTTCTCCGTCTTCTATATGTTGTATCGTTGTGCCAGAACTTTTTTTTGTGGGGTGTGCTTGAAGACACTAGACCTCCTGATACCCATTATGAAAGACTGAATGCTTTTAGAAAAAGATGTCTAGCCCTAATAGACGTGAACTGCTCAGCCATAATTTGGTCAAGAGTTGAGTAATTTTTGAACTAGCCTTTGATAAGCAGTGACGCGTGTGAAATTGGCGAATTCCAGCCCCAAAAAGTAGATTTGTATAAATATCTTATGTCAGTGCATATGAAGGCGTTCAGCTGAAAGGCAAGCTGTTAATCATTGCTTTTGAGAAGTGAAAGATTATGATTTCTCAATCCCTTACTTTGCTTGTCATTTCAAACTCGCATGGTCTCATATTTAGAAATGCTGAGGTTGATATGCCATTGTTAAGGCACTATTGAGCTTCAAGCAAAATGATATCCAAAATTTCCTTTGTCTCGCTAACATGAAATAGAAGAAAATGTTACATCTATTTTTCGATTGCAAATGTTGCTTTCTGGAAATTTAAATTTCATGTGAGAGTCAGTTGAAGTGCATATCTGTCAAATCGTCGCGATTGATGACCTAGAGATCCGATTAATCAGTTCCAGGAAGCCAAAATTAAAGGAAACTTTAAATCATAAGTGACAAAATTTCCCTCTGTTTTTTATTTAATGAAAAGTACTACATTTGTACATATTTTACTTTTAAACAAGCAGAAAATTTCATTTAGAAATATGATATGACACAGAACATAATCATGAACATTATGGGGTTTGCGAAAGACTTACCTCCACACGGTGCGTCCTGAGCAAAGTATACTCGTACGGCAAAAAGTCTATTAATCGGCAGTTAACTTCTCACTTCAAACTGCTATCACCCCACTGTATGTCATATTCGACCACTTCCATAGTACTCATCTTACCTTTTCTCTGCCTTTGTGTCAGTCTGACTGTCTCTTTTACACCTGTGAATTATTATTCCGTCCCTCCTCTCACTTTTTGCCATTTTGATATCCCCCTCCTCTCTGTGAAGCCCGAAGTCAGCTAAAGGGCTGATAATAACCGTCAAAACGCCTGCCATTTGGAAAAAAATAAATAAATATCATGAACTTTATGATAGCCTAAAAAGATATCTTTTTTTCATATTTGATGAGTCCTTCGAGAGCCGAATATTTTCT